GATATGAGTATTAAGTGAACTATCATATATAGCTCTTAGCATGACTCTTGATGTGCACAATAAGTGGTTTATTAAAGCAGGGATGAGTCTTCACCAAGACTTTTCTTGGTTTGTTGCCTCTCCTAACCAAAGACACATATCATTCAAACAAGAATAGGACTGCCAAAATATAGATTTCCCCCCTCTTCTCTCTGGATTTAATGGACAGGAAAACAAGTCCATGATATGACATTTTTAAGGACTAGCTTTTAATCAACTGAGATAAAGGAATATTAAGAAGATATGCAGTTTACAAATATCAATCATTAAAAATTTAAATGTTCTTTTTTGGGGTTGTACAGATACATAATAAACTAAAAAAATATTGGTTTATGTTCCTGTTCTTTTATGTTCTTCTAAGCTCCACTCACTGATTAAAGAGACTCAGATCCAGGACTAATATTCTTTGAATATAATGATGCAAATTCCCAAAATGTAGACCGTTCCTGCATAATAGTAACACACCTTAGGTATATCCAAACTCCAAACAAACCAAATTAGCTTAAGCATATATTTCACAGTCAATATCTATCAAAAGGTGTTATTTTGTATTAATAAATTTGGTTTACCCTTTATCTGTCTACCTATTCATCTATCAATATAGACAAATGAAAAAGGTATGAGAAGAAATGTTTGGATGTGTTTCTTTTCATCTCAAGATAGAAAGCCTGGGATAAATTGGTATATAAATACCAATAAGTACATTTTTTTATGATTAACTTTACCTCACATTTTTCTACCAAATTTTATCAATATTGAGTTTTTCTATCTAAAATGCTCTGGTTATTCTGCAAAAAAAAAATATAGTAAGACTCTATAACATAGTCAATATACCTTGAAGAAAAATAAGCAGAATTATTAAAATCCTTAGTAACAAAAAATAAGCATGTTGAATGAGATAAATTATTGTACCAGGAAACATAATGATGTCTATAATCAGAGAAAAAGCTGAAAATGAAATTTAGTTAATCAAGTATACTGAAAATCTGGATAGTTCATATTGGATGGCATCCAAAGTGAATTTTTATGTTTTTCCTTAGGTTTTTGTAGTCATGTGTATAATGTGTACTAGGAAGTGAAGGTGGAGGCATGTGTCTATCTTTGCAAGTAAAGCGATGAGCTGGTCAAGTATTGGGATCATTCAAATACTATCCTTTCATCCAGATCATCTTAGTATGTCCTTTCATAAATGAGCACTGAAGTTTGGTTTCTCTTGAACACATAGCTCACAGCCAAACACAGCCATGTGATAACACAAAGCTCTAGGGGGTGTGAGGGAAATCATCTAGATGGCGTATTTTGTCCTGCAGAGTGTAAATGACTATAGGAAGCGTTTTCTTCTTCCTCTTCTTCTTAAAAGCAGCAGATATTTAGAAAGTATTCTATGCATATTTTCCCTAAGAAACCTTGAAGGATCTGTCCGGAGTGCTGAAAATGTTTCCGCTGGAGATTAACCTGATGCGTTCAGAAAGCAGTATTTTCGATTCCCAAACCAATGCTCCCCTTAAATGGAAATCAACATTTGAAAAAGACAGGAATAGTCTAAATTGATTCTTAAATGTGTAATTACATGGGTAACAGAGAAATTAAAGAATAAAATTCCCCATACTTCATGAAGAGACTAGCACAGAGCACACCTAACAAGAGGTAGCACACTTGAACACTTCAAAACTCACAAAAGAATATTGTATAACTTAGAGCCTTCCACAGAAAACCCTCGACTGTGGCCCACTGGAGGAGGCAGGGTCTGCACTTAGCCCAAGACAATGCTTCCTTGTCTGCTCCAAACAGCCAGTGGGCAGCATTAGGGATGCAGATGAGCCTTCCTCAGTCATGATGAACCTTGAACAAAACACCACGCGGGAAATGGAGACGAAGGTGGAAGGGAGAAGCTGCTTCCCACCATGTCAATTTCTTATTGAGATGTAAAGTGTCAGAGAATCTACCTGCCTTGCTATTTAAGCTTTCAGTTCAGCTGAGACAGCACCTAACTAAATAAGCACACGTGCTTGTTATCTCCTCAGTGTCCCTCACAGCACCTGCTCCGAAGGGAAACAGGGGCAGCTGGAAATTCAAGAACAGGGTGGAAGAGCCCTCTCCGCAGACTGCCACTTCCCCCCTGAGAGGTCCTAAGTGCAGGTTAGGCTCCAGCCACCGACTAGCCTTCACACTCGTGGGTCTGCCCTGGGTTCTCTTCCCCCAAATCGCTGTAGCCTGGGCTTTCTCCTCCGTATGCCGGTGATGCTGCCGCCTTGAGGTAACCAGCAGGCTTTGTGTTCCAAGGGAAATACAAATCCACCGGCAGAGGGAAGAGCAGGAGGGCATGCTCAGACTGCTGTGGGGCACTTTAGACTGAGTGAGAGATGAGCTTTCAGCACCATCCGCTGTCCCTCTCTTCCTGCAGCAGGCGCCACAGCGCCGAAGCTAACCTGTCTGTGGGGAAGCGATTTTCCTGCCTTAACTCTCAGACCTTTGCTTCTGTCAATTCGGAGCCCTAGTGCGGTTTGGGGGAGCACCTCTGCATTTGAAACCACGCGCACTCTTAAGGAGCGGGAAGTCGGGTCCGAAGGCATGCAGAATTCCTTTCTCAGTCCATGCAGCCCTTCCCTCCCATTGCCTGCATCTTTTTCACCAACAGGTTTAACGAAGGCCCCCACAAATGGAGCAGACGTGAACCTCGTCGGCTCTGGCCTCCCCCGCTCCAGCCGCATCTCCCTCCCCCAAACCAAACTGTGAGCGACTCAGCAAGCTAATAGCTCCTAAATCCTGCTCGGGCCAGGGCACACTGGCACACAGACACTCAGCAAGCTTACCCCCCTCCTGGCCGCGCAGCGTGCAGTGAGCCGCGGTCTAGCTAGCCCCCTGTAAAGTTGGGCCGCAGGGATCAGCGGGGCAGAGACGGCCTCTCCAGTCCCGGGCTCCCCCCTCCCCAAGATGATCTCAAGCTCATCCCTTGCGCTCTGTGCGTGCAGAACAGCCGAGCTGAGGGCGGCGTGTGCAGCAATCTCCCCGCTACTGAGAAAGGGGGAAGGGGGAAAGGAGAGAGCGGAGGAGGGAGGGGTGGTAGTTTGTATTTATAGAGAACAGAGTTTTAGCGCAACTTTTTGGTGCCACCAAGTGGCACAGTGAGTTCCTTTAGGAACACGGCGAATCTGAATGGGTGGACCAACACTGCAGCCAGATGCTCAGGTGGTGGGAGACTGCAGGCACCACAAAGATTTGGCTTTTCACAGGTTCACCATCTCTGGCACCTGGAATGCAAATCCCTAAATTCTAAGAAGGAACCTGAATTAAAGAGGGGAAGGTACCCATGCTTTCTTCAGACAACAGGAAGGAAGTGTCAAGGACATGGTAAATGCCAGCTGTCGCCTAGCAATAGAAAAACCCTTTTTCTAAGAGAAAGAGTCACTCCCCTGCCCCTTCCTAACCCCTCTGCTCAGATTACAGCACAGTCCTATCTCACTCTAAAACCTTCTTCCTGATGCTGTGAGAGGTCAACCTTTAAACTGGAATGTCACTCATTTTCCTTGTGTTAGAGGCAATTCTGGATAATTTTCAAATCCACAAATTCAAAGAACTTCATAGCTTGCCACCAACCCTCTTTCTTCAGTTGCTAGCTTTGGACAACACACGTGACATTAGCTTCTGTAGATCAAGACCTCTCCAAGCATCTTCCAGAACTCCAGGTCCTCTGGCTGCAGGCTGGGTATCTCATTGCCCTCATCATTTCCACAGACCTCTCACTCAGCATGCATGATCCCAACAGCACATCCAGGACCTTGCAACTACCTTTGTACTTTGAAGGGGAATATCTGGAATCATCTATTATCCATATTTTCTAGGCTCTTTCTTCCTTGTATGCAGATCCCCAAACCACGACAGAGATACTATTACATGAGTTTTTAATGTCCCCAAACGCAGAATGACCTCTATAGTTTGCAGATGGAGAAACTGAACTTATTAAAGGTCCAGGGACTTGTTCAAGGTCACACATTTTCCCAGAGACCAGCTTGGGACTACTCACACTAGGACTGAATGAGCACAGTGATGCCAAGCCTGACTGGGCGGCTTCTGCTCCTTCCCTCAGCCCACACACCATTCAGTCCCATTCACCTCCCTTCTCTTTCCTCTTTCTCCCCCAGGTCCCTATTTCTGTCACTAGCCTTTGCGGAAGTTCCATAAAGGAACCAAGAGTACCGATGTCTTCCTGGCCCCACTGTAAGTGAACTTGAGTTTATGGGTCCAGAGTTGCAGGTGTACCCTTTTAAAATGGCTCACGATTCTAGAAAACCTCTCCCTGCAGATACCATAGTCATGGAAGTGTCATTTCGGAAATAGAACATTGAGATTTGCACCCGACCATGTTCTGCCTTTCCTGCCTCCTCTCGGGGTAAAGCATCAGCAAGTGCTCTTATTAGCCACCCTCAAACACCTAATGGCCTCAAAGATAGAGGAGCCCCACAACCCCCCTCCCTTGCTAAATGCAAGCCTTTCATGCACATGTATTGGTATGCGTGTGTGAGAGAGCGAGCGAGCTCCGAACGCCTCTTTTGGCTCAAATCTCTCATTTTTTTTTCCTTCTCTGAATTTTTTTTTAGTTCGTTTTCTATGGAAACGAGCCCACTTGAATCCTTCACTTACGCAAATAAAAGCAAAATGATCTTCATAAACCTCCCATTGGAGAGATGCCGCGGTAGCCTGGGCTCCTGACTCCAGATTCCTGTCTGATTCACAGAGCCCACGTCCTTTCAGGGTGACTTTACTAAACTTGCAGGACCTCTCAGCGTCCCTGGCTCCACCAGTCCTCCACCTGGCCACCACCTGCCCTCCTGGGTCCCTGTAGCCCGAGCTCCCGCCCCTTGCCTGGTGGCTCTCCATCCCTGCGCTGGGGGAGGGGCTCCGGCGGTATCCTACATGCGAGGTAACTACAGCGGAGAGAAAGGAAAACGCGCTGTGCTTACCAGGTGTGCGCCCTGAGCCTCGCGCCCCCAGCCAGCGGCTACTCGCAGGCTTTCCGCGCTCTCATAGCGGCCTTCCTGCAGCTGGAGCGCTGGTGGCGGCGATGAAGGCAGCGGTGGCAGCAGTGGCAGCAGGCAGAACCGCTGCGGGCCCGCGGTGGTGGCGCTCGCTGTCTCGCGCCAGCGCCGGGAGCACGTGCCGCGCTCGGGCAGACGCAGCTGGCAGCGCGGCGCAGCGCAGGGCTGGCTCCTACTCCCGCAGCGCGCGGCGGGGGGCGGCAGAAACGCCAGGGCAGACTCGGCGCGCGAACAAGGGTCTCGAAGCCACGTAGTCTCAGGGTTTAGACGAGGATAGCCTCGGTCTCCCTCTCCTGCTTCTCAGATTCCTTCCAGGAGACGCGGAAAGAGAGCTAGGGAGGCGTGGGTGGTGTGTCACTCAGAGAGAGGCTGGGGGAGCAGGTAGGTAATAAGCTTCTCTCTGACGATGACACTTAAACCCTGACAAGGACTGGGAGAAGGGGCGTCACTGCTGGAGGGTAGCGAGTTAGGAAGTCAGGGAACCCCAACATGATTCAGAGCTGTGAGTGGTTAGAATGAACGTCTCTTCAATGATATTACTTATTAATAATGCCATTTTGCATTTGCCTGCACTTCTTACAAACGATTCTTCCTTATATCCATAAAAATCCCTTTCTCTGTAGCAGTGAAATGTCTTTTACTTCCTCAAATGACTTTGCTTTCCTTCCCCTCATCACTCTCTCACTGCTCAAGGTTGTCAGAAATGCTGAGGTTATCTTTAAATTTCAAAAACGGTCTTCCTTCCTGCCTCTGGGAAAGAGACTGATATAAATTACTCGCATGGCTTAATTTAAAGAAAAGACATTGTAGCAATGGGGTTATTATTATTATTCCCATTATATTACCCTAGCTGAATTTAGGTAGCCAGGTGCTCACAGCGGCTCAAGGATTCAAAGATGAGGACTATGGTCAAGGGGAATGGTCCTGAAGCATGCATTACTAATGTCTGTTATTAGATTTCCCACCAAACCCTTCCCAGTACCCCAAGTTATTGATCAATCACTTCAGGATTCAACAATAAGAAAAAGGAAAATAGGTATGTATCTACTACACCTTACGGAGGTTTACAATGGCAACTTAATTCGTGCATGTTCGTATCTACTGATGGTGGCACTGTGAATTTTTGAGGTTCTTTCATCACAACCCACAAAGCAAGTTCTAGTACTTTGTAGAAAGACCAGTGAGTCTTTGGCTGATCTTCCTGAATGGGATAGATGAGAAAATAAGGTGGTGAGATTTCTCAGAAGCAGAAAGGGCAACTTATGACTAGATGCATATGAAATGTAATTGAGTCTGATGAATAAATTAGTTTGTTAACCCAATTGTCTGGGGCATTGGCAACAAGGATGAGGTCATAGATTTGGTCCTTGTGTGGGGCATAGCTCTGAGTGAGCACAGGACAATCCAAATTCCTCCTTCTGTTCATTTCAGATCAAAGCCCAAGAGTGAATGAGATGAACCTAGGCAAGGAGTAGGCCATGTAGGCCACTCAGTCATCTGAATTCTCCAGTTTCTTACAAATATTTCCTTCCTTGCTATCTCCCAGAGTAAAGAAGGGGATGGAGTGAGATAAAACATGTCAAAGCATGTCAAAATTATAAAACACTGCATAAATGTAATGTGTGATTTACCAAAACATACCCACTTCCTGTGCTCTAAAAGCTAAAATGCAAAGGGCATTCCCCATGAACAGTAGTGATATTTTCAGATAAAAAGGAAAACATAATTATATATTCTTAACTTGCTCATAACATTTTAAAATACAGCCTTATTTTCTAATTGTAAAGTGCTAAATTAGGCAAAATTAAAATGAAAAGAAATACATAAGCAATGTTTTAGGTCTCATAAGTAAGTTCCAATTTAAAATTGCTCAAGTAGGGGCCAGCAGGGGGCAGGATGGTTAAGGCACTGAACTCCCATATAGCCAACTGAGGTTAAAGTCCAGAACCCAGTGGGTTGAAGATCATGCCAAGCAAGTGTGCATGTGTGCCCCCAAATCCTGAGAGGACAATGGAGGAGAGGGGATTATTGCATGGTAATCACTGTGGGCAGTGACTTCTCACTTTCCCCTCTCACTGCTTCTGTTTCTCTCTGGCGACTGCATGCACCCTGTGGCAAAAACCTGGGGGAAAAAATTGCTCAACTATATGACTATTGCTTTAGGATGAGCTATTAATGTACAAAATATAATTCTTATGGGAAATAATTTTTAAAAAGCATTTATACTTAGAATTAATCAAATTTAAAATCTGAAATATTTATTGATTTTTCTCACATATGACACTTTGTCAGGAAATCCTGTTGGCTCTACTTTCAAAATATATTCTAGAATCCTGCCACTTCTAACCACCTGCATAGATACCATGTCAAATCAAACCACCATCATCTTTTATGGGGCTTATTGCGATGACTTCCGACTGACACGGGCCAGAGAGATCTTGTGAAAACAGTTACCTTAAATCAAAATCCTCCATATCTTCCCATTTCACCCAGAATAAAAACCCTAGTATTTACCCTTACCCTAAATCTTGTGTCCCCCATCCCATTCCCTTTCTGACTTCTTTCTAATACCAGGCGTCTCCAGAAAGTTAAAGTGAAATGCATATTACAAAAAGAAAAAAAAAACTGTTTATAGATTTAAAAACAATTTCTTGCACCAAAACGAACTGGTACTTTATTCCGTTTTTCTAGGAACTTTTTGAAATCTTCATGTATTGTTTTCCTTTGCTTATTCTGCTCCAATCAAAGGATTTCTTTTCTCTTTCTCAAAGGTGACTAACACGTTCCTATCTATTGGCTTTTTTGTACAAAAAAATAATTATTTATTTAATTCCATTTATTATTATTCTTTTTTAATTTGACCAGAGAGAGAAAAGGGGAAAGCAAGAAAGCAAGCCACCAGGCCTGGGAATTGAACTACAGTGAGCCAAGTGGGAATCCGGCACCTTTATCCACCACACCACTCTTGCATTAGCCATTTCTTTTGTATGAAGTGTTCTATTCACATGGAACCACTCTACTAACACTTTCCTTTACTTCAAATCTTCTTTAAACCTGACCTCCTCTCAGTGAGACCTTACCAACTTACCCTCTTTAATTTCATAAACTATTTTTCCACATCATTCTAGTGATCCTGATCCTCTTTACCGGTTTTCCCCATAGATTTTTAAAAAGTCCAAGATACTATATAAGTTATTAGAAACATGCACATGAGTGCATATGTATTTTAATTTATTCCTTCATGCCTTTTAAGTGTTCTTAAAGTACTATGTACCTAATTTTTCCAAGTGTTAGGAATATAATAATGAATGAAATGCAACTAATTCCTGTTCTTATAAAGCTTAAAGTCCTTTAAGAAACACAAATAAACTAAAATGTGACAATTTGTGGGAGGTACAATCAGGGACATTATAAAGAATAGCATGATAGGGCTACCCCTGTTGCCTAGTGGTTAAGGAAGCCAAGTGACCAACAGTAGTTCAAAATCTGGCCCTAGCAGCCAAAAGCTCAGAACCTGTACATACATCTCTCAAAACCTGGCAGGGTGGACAAATGAAGGAAGAGAGAACACAGTGTGACCATCCCCCATTGTAAGGCACTTTCTCCCTCTGTCTCTCCCATTCTTGGCCAGAGTACATACCCTCTGGCAATAAGAAAAAAAAAAAAAACTTTAAAAGCATGGCATGAAGAGGGGGCTTAGTATCTTGTTTGAATTGGACAGTAAAAAAAGGAAGGAAGGAAGTCTCTCTGAGACAGAAGTAAAGATCAAGAGATCAATCCTGGGAACCAGCAGTTAGCGTAATGGCTATGTCACTGGACTCCCACGTAGTCGACCGTGGTTCGTGTCCCGGACCCGGTGGCTTAAAGCTCACGCCGGGCGCGTGTGCGTGCGTACCCAAGATCCCGAGAGGAGAATGGAGGAGAAGGGATTGCGGCGTGACCATCCCCACTGGGGGGTGATTTCTCGCTTTCTGTCTCTATGTCTCTCTCTGTCTGTCTGGCGAGCGCACACGCCCTATAGCGAAAAAACCTCTCCAAAAAAAAAAAAAAAAGAGATCAATCCTGAAAAGTGAACCGTGCAAAGAATGAGATGTACATGTGTATATTGGCGTTTGGGTGGATTAGGGATGTGGAGAGGTGGTTGACCAGAAGGTTGAAAGCAAGATTGCTTCAGAATGGGGAAAACACGTCTCTTCTGAGACAGGAGAACACTTGCCATGTTTTAGAAACTGAAAAGAATTTGGTGTAGACGAAGTAGAATGTGGCAAATCTTCATTACATCGCAGCTTGCTCAACTGCAAATGGAGGTTTATTTTATATGATTTCATTTACTAAATTTAATCTGCCTACTTTCTAAATGTGAATGAGGTAATTTTATGTCATTTAAAAATAGAAAATGTAAATCATACAAAAAAAGAAATGACAGATACCCAAGTGATACTGACTATAAAAGGACCTGTTCGTTAATCAGAAAACATCTAGTTATGTACTCACTAGCAAATAAGATGAAAAGAAAAAATGTCTTACTATTCATTATCTAATATGAGAAAATGTGTGTGCTTTTGCCCAGAATCCAAACAAGATAGAGAAAAGGAGTAGAGGGATAGGGACATGACCATGTCCAATTGGATGCTCTGCCTCCCACCATGACCACCTCTCAGCACTTGTCCTCTCTGGCAGTTAAAAAATAAAACAGAGACCAGCAGATATTATAATGATTACATCACTGCACTCCCACATGGCCAGCTGTAGTTCAAGTCCCAGACCTCGCAGCTTGAAACTCACACCGGGCATGTGTGCCCAAAATCCCAGGAGGAGAAGGGAGAAGGGATTGTGGCATAGTCATCCACCCTGGGAAGTGATTTCTCACTTTCTGTTTCTCTGTCCGTTTCTGTCTCTGGCGAGCACACACACCCTATAGAAAAAAATCTCTCTTAAAAAATTAAAAATAAAAATGTTTTATTTAATGTATTTTATTTTAAATTATTATTGTTAATTATCATTTTAAATTATTAAATTATTTTAAATTTATTTATATTTTATTTAATTTTGTATTAAATAAATAGGCAAAACCAAATCAGGCTCTTACTTGATTA